TGGGCCTCTCAGCTTGCAGAGAACATCTTAGCAGCATACGCCACCATCCCTAGTCATAACTCATCTTGAAATTAAGGGCCCTTAAATCTTGTGGTTTAAAGGAATACTAATTTCTGTCTACTCATGAATCTTTTGGGCCAAAAAAATCTGTTTTATCTGGATTGTGTCAATTTACCAGCCCACCTAGGTGAGAAACTCTTAGAGAAGGAATAATCATAGTTCCCTCTCCACACTTCCACTTTATCTCTGAGGAGGAAGGTTGATTTTCTTGGTCAAGAGTGAGCACATTCATTGGACATGGTGCTAAGACCCTCCTCTGTCCCCTATCCCAGACCTTAATATGTGACAGATGGTGGCTGACAAGCTCCCAATTTCTGCCTTGCTTATTTGCATCTTTGTGTGATCCTTTCCCCATAAGTGTGACTAGAATTAGTGACACTCAAAATAATGAATAGACTACAGCAAAAAGCAATATAATATTATTTCTGTGATTAAGTTACAGAAGAATGGAATTTCCATCTTCCTGGATTCTCATTATATTGCTTTCTTAGCTTGTACATTTTGGTGAAGCAAGCTGGCATTTTAAAAGACACCACATGGCAAAAAACAAGGAACACCCCCTGCAAAGAGTCAGTATGGAACTGAGGCCCTCAGTCCACTCATGAGAAACTGAATGTTGAAAACAAACATGTGGATGAACTTGAAAGAGGATTCTTCGCTAGTTGAACCTTCAGATAAGACTAACCACATCCCCGCCAACACTTTGTAGTTTATGAGAAACTCTGAGGAAGTGGACCCAGCTAAACTATACTGACTCCTGACTCACAGAAACTGTAAAATAATAGATGTATATTGTTTTAAGCTCCTCTGTATTAAGGTAATCTGTTAAGTAGTCATAGTTGATTAATATAGTCCACAGGATACTGAAGAGTTCTCTATGCAATCCAACCCACTTTAAGGTCAGGATCCTATATTGGGATATGCAGCCAAATCTTCAAATAGTGATAAAATTTTCATTTGCTATTGATTGTCCTGTATTTATTTCCCTCTTGGACCTTGTGAGGAGGAGTCACTGGTTCAAAACAAAACTGGATGTTCTTGTGTCTCTTAGCCAAATGCCATTTTAATCTCACCCTGACATCTGGCCTAATTTGGGCAGGCCATGTGCCAAGGAGACTAGCATCTATGGGACAAAAATCCATAGTGGGTAGTACGTGGTTCCCTCATTGAGAAATGTTTAGAGCTCAAACTTCTATTACGTCTAGAAATCAGGACTTGCTTTTGGAACCAGCATTGCTTATTTAGGAAGTTGATAAGTAGCAGAATTCCACCTGGGTCTATATAACCTCACATCAAAATAAGCAAAGATAGAAGGTATTTGGCTTTAGGGTTTTCAGAGCCAGATATTGACAGGGGTACCGGGTTGAGTGTCCTGGGATTGATTCCCATTTATCTTGCTTTGCATTCCTTTCTGATTTCACCAGCATTTCATCTTGCATGTGAAGTTAGAAAAAGAACCATGACAGGAATAAGATCTGAGAACTTGAGAAGTTTGTCCTCATTGGTTTGAAAAGCCTATGCCATCAGCTGTCAAATTGGCTCTGGTCATCTAATTGAAAAGCCTAAGTTCTGGCATTTTAGTCTTTGTAGGTTGAGATTGAAGAGTTTGACTATGAGGAAAACAAATACATTCTTGGTCATTTCTTTCTCAACCATCTTGTTTCCTTGATGCTCCCTAAATTCATGAAAGGATCCATTGGTGAACTGTGTAGTGGACAGAAAATTGGGTATAAATTTTGCCATCCTTCAGTCCTCTTGCATTTGCAATGTGATTTTTCAGGGCCACTCCCAGAGATGGGGAATACTGCTCAGAATTTAGTGTATGGAAAAGAAGCAAACATGATATAAGCAGAGGCTTGAAAAGTGTCTGTGCACTGGGCCTGAATCCCATTTTTCTCTTTGAGGTCTTTCAAACCACAAATATGAAGAAATCCAACTGAATCTGCTGGAACCTAAAAGAGCATGTGGGGGAAAAAAAAAAGCCATCCCATTGAGCTTCCCCCATACCACACAGTAACTAAACACTGTGTGGATGAGTCTATCCTACACATTGCCACCAGTTGACCTTACAGCTGACTGAAGATATACAAGAAGTCTATCACAGGTAAACTAGGGTAGACAGACCAGTAAAACCATCATTGTGAGCCCAATAAACAGTTTTTAAAGCCACTTTGTGTTGAGATTCAGCATTAGGTAACAGATGTAGACCTATGAGTATGCTTCTGCCAACTCACTTTGTTGGCAGATTTGGAGTTCTTGAAGGTAAAGGACTATAACTCTTCAGAAGGTCAGATTTAGGCTCTTGTCTTCAGTGATGAGTTTGGCTATGAAACAATGGGATCTCTCTGGACCACTGCAATGCCCGGGGTCACTCTTGTAATTGACCTGCCTTTCATACATGGCTACCCCTCAAAAATCTTTAGGGTAACCTAAAATTCCCACATAGAGAGAATCCACTATTGTACATTACTTTCCAACCATATGCTCTCTTTGCTCCAGGAACAACTTCTAATTTTTATTCACAGAACTGTCCTCACCCCATTCCCAGTTCATGTGTTTTTGAATATCACTGTACCCTGAGTTCCAGAGGTACAGTTCATGATGTATGTAATAGGCATGCTCTAAGATGGTCTCCAAAGATCTCCACCATCCAACCTCCAACAACCTTATTTGTATACTGTCCCGTCCCATCACCTTAAGCATGGGCTGGACTTGCTGACTCTTCTAGAGACCAGCACATGATGGGATATCATCTTCGAGATTAGGTTATGAAAAGACTGTGGTTTCCAAATTGGGCACTCTTAATAATTCTCCCTGGGGAAAGCTAGCTACTACGTCCAGAGGAATAGCCCTATGGAGAGACCTTTGTGGTGAGCAGCTGAGGCTGCTGACAATCACATGAATAAGCTTGGAATAAGGTTCAACAACTCCCCAGTTTAACCTTTAAAATGTGATTGCAACCCTGGCCAACAGTTTAACTGCAACTTCAGGAGAGACCTTAAACCAGCAGAACCACACTCAAATTCCTGGTTCACAGACCTTGAGAGGTAGTAATATTGTTTTAAAGTTTTGAAATAACTTGTTACACAGTGATAATTAATTTGGGATTGCCCATCCGAAGCTGCTCCCCTCTTTACCTGAACACACAGCTTGGTTCAGGAACGCACATGTGACCAATCAGAGTAAAGTGAAGGATTTTTCTTTTAAAGAGCAATTTTAGCTATAGGGCATGTACACTCACTGGAGAGACAGAGAGAGACAGAAAGCAAGAAATCACCCCCTGGGAGGATGAACACACCACAATCCCTTCTCCATTCTCCTCTCAGGATTTTGAGCATGCACGCATGCATGCCCAGCGTGAGTTTTAAGCTTCTGGGTCCAGGACTTGAACTATAGTCGATTATACAGGAGTCAAACAACAATGTAACCATTATATCATCTGATGATCCCAGGTGAAAGACTTTTATAGGAGCTCTCACTTTTTCTCACTGGACACAATCCTGGGAAGCAAAGAGGCTGGGAATCTCACGGTCATCTTGAGTGAAAACTCATACCTTGATGGTCTTTATAACCCTAGCACCCAGAACGATGTCTAGCTCAGAATAGGTGCTCAATATTTATTAAATGGAAAATGGGTTGATATCCAGCAGAGGGAGAAAGTATGACAAATTGGCATATAACAGGGATAAATCAAAAGTAGCAGTGGTAACTTCTATAATATCATCGAAAATGGAACATGTCATCAAACATCTACAGCAAGCCAGGTATTTTTGTTTTCTAAATGTGATGAATAGAACACACAGTTTCTTCTTTAAGTTGGCTTCAGTCACTTTTAACTGGCAGAGTTTCTAAAATTCTGCAAAGAATTCTGCACTAAGTAGGATCAATGGATTCATTGTGTATCTGCCCTGTGCCCCATTTACTGGGGCTCTTCCAAGAAGGGAAGAGATGAATAAGCTCTGGAGAGTCATAATGTACTTAGTGTGACAGTTTTGCTCTTCTCTGCTACCCACTAGCCTTACCAGCTACAAGGGCATGTGCTACAGATTGGATTACTACATCTTTTGAAAAGAAAATAGAAACATGACTTCATTCAGAGAAGAAGGTATCAGGCTGACACAAAGTGATTCAGTATTGTGTTATTCTACTCTGAGAGAGTGGAGTTCCTTATCAGGCCAACTGCATTTAAAAGTCATCTGTCTTATTTTCCCCACCCTCTCCTGGGCCCTTGTGGACAAGTATGGCTATTAAGAAAAAGGTCATACACTTTTTTTTTTTCCAGATGCTAAGCTGAATTAGGAGAAAATAGTGAAAGGTAAGTAGTATATGTGTCTTACAAATAGTAATCTCGTCATAGACCACAGAAAAGTGGTCTCTATGTACTGACACCAGCCTCCTCATTGCCTTTCATCATGGTTGGAACGACATTTTTGTTATGTACTTTGTGCTTGAGGACTTAATAAACACGACCCACATTGACTGGATGGCTTCGTAGATACTCTGATTGTGAGTGTAGGAAAATACTGAGGTCATCAAGTCTGGGACTTACAAGTGGCAGAAGTCTCAACCTCAAATGTCTATAGCCGCTAGAGAAGTGGATGGAGAGTACAATACAATAGGGGTTAGTGGAGACTGCGGTGAAATGAGAACACACACTGCTTTTAAAAGAGATACTCATTTCTCAGTTCTGTCAAATTATCTCTACATGGAAACATAGGCCCAGTGCTGCCAGTCTTCTGATTTTTTTCCCCCTCAAGGGAATCTGAAACCCTAAAATTGATATAAAATATCCTATTTTTAAATGTTGACAATGATTTCAATTAGATAAGATTCTATGCAAGTGAAACAAAGCTTAACTACTGTCCATATCAGCCGATGGATCTCCAGTTTGTAACCTCTATACCAGAATTTATGTTAAAGCAGACATGAAAACAGAAGAGTTTGCATATATTAACTCAGTTTAATCATATCAATTCTTAAACAAAAATTTTCCTCCAAGAGACAATAGTTCACAGTAACTGCAAAGCTTACTCACAACTTTTAAAAATATCAGTCATGCTTAGCATTCAAAGAAGATATTGTAGAATAACTGTAAAAACTTGTACCAGGAACATAGCTTCTGACTTTAAAAATTACAAATACTGAAGCATTTTGGTATCAGACACAGTAGTTGTGACATTGTCTGTTTATTGGATGAGTTTCTGGAAGTTGGAAAACTGTACCTCTAATAATAGGATAATGCGCTTACTCTAAACTAAACATTTTCAAATGTAGAAAACAAACTAGCAAGCTACACATACAGAGAAAAGCCCTCTAAGATGAGCTCTCCACATGTTGAATGCCAGCATATGCACCATGAATCCTGGAAGACTAGAATTGATACATACACTGGGCCTGAAGTCTGACACCCAGGCCCGACAATGGAGTTTGCATTCACCTACACATTAATGACAAACTCTGGGTTAGTATAAGAGAAGCCAGCAAATTCATTTTGGTCCAAGTTCATGATGAAGAGTTTATCAGTGGGAGTCAGTTCCACAGGCTGCCTGGTGAACTCTTTGTCGAAGTTGGAGGTATCTCTCTTGTCTCTCTGCCAAATGGAAAGCAAACACATTAACACAGCATAAGAGGAAGGATACGTGAGCAAGACATGCCAGTTCTCAGGAGGCTGATGACATGAGCAGAGTCAGAAAGAGCCCTTTGGATAATTGTTAGTAGCTACACTGCAGGCGCTAGCTTTCATTTCACACTGTATGTTAACTTCAGGATAGAAAACTTGGTGGACATTTTCGAAGAAAGGAAGTAAGTCATTGAATTTCTGTAAGAATTGCCATAAAGTGATCGTGTGTGTGTGTGTGTGTGTGTGTGTGTGTGTGTGGTGGTGGTGGTGGTGGTGGTGCTATTTTCTTTGGCTTTGTGATGACTTGAATTGGAATCTACTTCTTACCATGCATAATGTCAGAAAATGAGTCATTAGGTAGTGTCCAGAAGAAAACATCCGATAGCGACCCTCGTGGTAAGAGGCCTTTTTCTTTGAAAAGAACTGTTGTATAGTTACTCTGCTCCCAAGAGTAGGAAAATGGCCAAGTGGAGAAGTCAGATCATTGCTTAATGAGATGAACTGGTCACTCACCACCCCAAGTCACAGTGCAACCTAGATTTGAAGTGATGCTCAAAAACCAACCACAGATTAGAATCTGGGTCTTTATCAGACAGAAGTTCTCTCCAAAAATGCTTATAGCATGGACTTCCACAAACTATAATAAACAAAACCCATAGCTTCAAGTAAGGCCTATAAGGGCAACCTTGAAAAAAATTGATTCTCTTACTTAGTCTGGCATTTCTTAATTTTTTAATTTTTAGTGTGTATAGATAGGACATTAACTTGTTTATTAACTATAGTTAGGGCAAGTTTTATGCAGGGACAGAAGAGTGTGGGATAATAAACATTATCTTGTGTATGATGTTCTGACCTCTGCAGGGTTCTTGCCAGCCTGTCATCTCTTCCCATCCTTACCACATCTACCTGGGGGGCAGGTACAGTTGACATCCTCACCCCTCACTGTTTGGCATATGAGAAAAATGAGGCACAGGCAGGCAGAGTGACTTGCACAAGATTATACCGTTTGTGATTTTTACCTGACCTCATCGCTGCTAAGTGCGCCTCATCTCAGCCCCTCTGACTGGAGGGACAGCCTCCTGGTTGTATTCTGGCAGGACAACTAACGATAACACCTGGGATTCACAGGTACTAGGCAGGTTGCCTGCTGGAAGACAGGAGGGTGGTGAGGACGGGCTCATTAGAGTTTGGCCAAGCGCCACTCTGCTTTAGGCTTAGCCCCTAAATGGGCACTGGCTGATAAGGACTTTTTCATTGCTAGGCTTAATTCCTTTTGCAAAATGCTGTTCACAAGAATTGCTTCTTTTTTGGCTGCTGAATAAGTAAAACATCTCTATGGAGTTCCCTACTTAGTCTTGTGGTGTCTGTGTGGGAGACAAAACTGGCACTAGGAGTACACTTGGGTAAGTGTGGCCTGAGGAGAGCAGACTAAAGATGCTGATGAAGCTGTTTTCCCCATGGTGGGCCATCCCCTGCCACATCCCTCCTGTTCTGCTGTGTCTTGTCCTGCCTGCTGTTAGCCTGTGCTGTGCTGTGGGAGGCTCCATCCCCCAGACACTCAATGTGTTACTTCCTGTGTTCAGAGAAAAGCCCAAATGCCTCCCTTTCTTTAATAATGTCTGCACATCCCTCTTCTATCCCCACAAGGGAGCATCTTCTTAATTGTCTTCATTGCACTTATTGCCTGGAAGAAATTATCTTATTTATTGTTTCTCTCCAGGAGGAAGAGGTCCTTGTCTGTATTTTCTCTATTGTATTTCCGGTGCCGAGAATAAATAGTACCTAGCACCTAGTACACTGTTCATAATTATTTGTTGAATGAATTAATCAATGAATGAAAATCTGACTAAGAATAAGGCTCTTTGCTTTTTCCAGCTTACAGTTACCTCCATGCCACAGACTTCACTCTGAAGAAAAACAATGAAACTTATTCTCATTGAGTCTCCCAAATGGGTTACTGTCCAGTTTGAGTGCAGGTCTGAACAGAACTGTGTTAAGCCCTTTCAAGGCCAAGGAGCATCAGGGCTATGTTTGAGCTAAAAGACAGACCGCTGCTTCCTTTCAGATCTCCTCTGGAACCATAGGTCCTATCTGGCTTTCCTCCCTGTAAACACTCAGAAGTTCCATCAGCCTCAACTAGGGATGCCCTTTCCATTTGGTTGTTAGTGATGACCCATGCTTCAGGTGGCCATATGGTACAAATGGAACTTGATGTTATGAACTTTGCCTTGAGCCCAGATCCCCACAGAAAACATTCTTCAGTTTTATCTTAGACATTGAGAGAGAATGGGCCCCTCTGTTGGGACAATTCCTTTTGGCCTGATAGCATCTGAAGTCACATGAGAATACTAGTACTCATTCAAGGACAGTTATGAATTCTACTGGTTTCCTCTTAAATCTCCCCAAGAACATCATCATGATCATGGTCCTCCTTTAGCAGAGGAAGAACAGGTCAAGGAGAAACCTAAGAAATTGAAAGGATCCTTGGATCCTAGCAGATAATTAGCCATAGTTACCATCGACTGTGTTAAGGTTTTTTTTTTTTCTTATTTAGTTTATTATTATTTTTTTAAATTCCGCCCTAATTGAAATTTTTTGGAAAAATCTCAGAGTTTCAGGCTAGAAGAACCAGTTTGTGTCTGGTTGAAGGCAGGGTGCTGGAAAGGGAGTGGTGTCTCCATGGAGGCCAGAAAGGGTAATACCTGCAGAAATCTGAGTGATATATCCTGAGAAGTGAGACTCAAGGCTCAGAACCAAGACCTAAAATCAGTTCCTTTTGTCCATATAAAGAGACAACAGTGGTGTTTGAATCTGCTCAGATTTTGGTAATTCTGTGGTCTTTTCCTGCATGAGGAGTAAACCTTGGGCTTCTAGAAGGAAACTCATCCAGCACTCATCTTTACTCTTTCCGCACCTGTTGTACTATATGATTCTCCCAGAAATCTGGGCCAAGAGGATTCTGCTGTACCTTCTCCTTCAGCCTCTTTTCTAACAGAGAGAAAGAGCCTCCCCAAAGACTTTTGGTGACTTTTTCTTTGTTGTAGGAAACTTTCCCTGATTAACCCAGAGATGAATTATCTCCAGATCACATCATGCTTTTAATAGATTACTTAATGACAGCCCCCACCAGCTGGTATGATGGGGAAGGAGAGAGAAAGGAATGGATTGCATATTTATTGTTTCTCACTGTGCTCTGGGTACCCAGCATAGAGCCTGGCACCCAGGTGGTACTCAATAAATGCTGGCTAAGTGGAAGGTGGAATAAATGAATGATTGCAAAAGGAAATTAAAGCTCTCTCTTCCTGGATAAAGCATTCCCTAGAGAATATATATGATGAAAGCCCTGTTTCTCAGTCTTCCATGCACTGAAATGTTGATAGAAAAGGAAACAATAGGAATTCTGACTAATGATTCTTTACTTTGACATAAGGCTTTTCTGAACGCCTCTCAGGAAGGTGCGTTAGGGGAACAGAGACTTTGACTTGAGCATCTATTTCCGCAAACTTTCAACTTTTGAAAAACAATGGCAAAAATTTGGAGATTGTAGAGTGTGGGTATATATATAATATATATACCCCCCACATATATATGTATATATGTGTACACACACACACACATTATACTCTCTATCTGTCCATCCATCCATTCTGCATTACTCTGTAAAGTTGTTTCAGATCCTTGGCTCTTTCCCCACCTGTTGTACTATATGATTCTCCCAGAAATCTGGGCCAAGAGGATTCTGCTGTACCTTCTCCTTCAGCCTCTTTTCTAACAGAGAGAAAGAGCCTCCCCAAAGACTTTTGGTGACTTTTTCTTTGTTGTAGGAAACTTTCCCTGATTAACCCAGAGATGAATTATCTCCAGATCACATCATGCTTTTAATAGATTACTTAATGACAGCCCCCACCAGCTGGTATGATGGGGAAGGAGAGAGAAAGGAATGGATTGCATATTTATTGTTTCTCACTGTGCTCTGGGTACCCAGCATAGAGCCTGGCACCCAGGTGGTACTCAATAAATGCTGGCTAAGTGGAAGGTGGAATAAATGAATGATTGCAAAAGGAAATTAAAGCTCTCTCTTCCTGGATAAAGCATTCCCTAGAGAATATATATGATGAAAGCCCTGTTTCTCAGTCTTCCATGCACTGAAATGTTGATAGAAAAGGAAACAATAGGAATTCTGACTAATGATTCTTTACTTTGACATAAGGCTTTTCTGAACGCCTCTCAGGAAGGTGCGTTAGGGGAACAGAGACTTTGACTTGAGCATCTATTTCCGCAAACTTTCAACTTTTGAAAAACAATGGCAAAAATTTGGAGATTGTAGAGTGTGGGTATATATATAATATATATACCCCCCACATATATATGTATATATGTGTACACACACACACACATTATACTCTCTATCTGTCCATCCATCCATTCTGCATTACTCTGTAAAGTTGTTTCAGATCCTTGGTCAATGACTCAAGATTTCTCTGTGGTTTTAACTTCCTGAGAATATGTCCAAGCAGAGGCCTTCTAACTCAAGAGCCTGATAAAGAGCCTCAAATAATTGGCCTGTTGGTGGGCATGGCTCTGAGATGCTGCTAGTTGTTACAGAACAGAGTCCTGCACTGAAGGTCAGGAAACCTGGGTTTGTATTCCAGCTGACTGACCTTGGATAAGTTACTCTTCTTCACCAGATGCCAGTTCTCCCAAAAATAAAGTAAGGGAGTTTGTGCCAGTTCCCTTCCTTGTCTAACCTGAGCTTGTCAGCTAGTACTCCAAGTCCACTCCATCTTAGGTACAGACTGCTGCCACAAAGAGAGCAACAAGGACAGTCCCCAAGCCTGTCACTAGGTGAAATGAGAGGGCAGACAAAAAGATACTGCAGGAGATTTGGCCTAAGCAGAAATCCAAATGGTTTCCTTGGAGATGAGACCTCTTATTTGAAGGACATTTGTTAAGTTTTTAAATTTCTCTTG